CTGGCGAGCGGCCCAAGCATGTGCGACTACGAGTGCCGCAGTGCAGGTGGGACGCGGGAGGGCAGGCTCCTTATGAGGCCCCGAAGCGTGCGAAGGGTGCGCCAGCATGAACGCCACTGCTGGGCCACAGATGGAACGCCACTGCTGGGCAGACCATACGCGTTTCAGGAGTCTGCATAAATGAGCGGGACCCCCATATGCAAACGACTCCGCTGCGGCCTGCGGTTGAACTCCCCATTGGGCCACCAAACATGTGAGGAGTGTGCTGACATGAAAGGCGCGGACGCTTGCGAGCGCCGTCAGTTGGGCCTTCGGTGGAGTTCCCAATGAGGCCACGAAGCAAAAGAGGGGCGTGCCAAAATGAGGGTTCGGGGGCGCATTCAAACCATCACTGGGACATTCGGTGGAACTCCTGCGGGGCCACAAAAAGGGCGCGAACGCATACGAAAACCGCCACTGAGGCCTTCGGTGAAACTTCTTATGGCGCCACGAAGCATGCGAGACGTGCCGGCACGCGAACTCCGCCACTGGGGCCTTCGATGGAGCTCCCAATGGAGCCACGAAGCGTGTGAGAAGTATTCTGGAATGGAAAACGGGAACACGTGCGAACCCTGCCGCTGGCGCCTACGATGCAGCTGACCGTGGGGCCACGAATCGTGCGACTGGTGCCGAAATGTCAAGCGGGGGCGCACACGCGAACCGTTCAACGGGGGCCCTCGGCGGATCTAACTGCGGGGACGAGAAAGGTTTGAGGGCTGCGACGACATGGAAGGCTGGAACACATGCGAACCCTGCCAGGTGGGTCTTCGGTGGAGGTCCCTGTCGGGCCACGAAACATGTGAGGACGTGCCGGAAACAGATCTTACCTTTTTGCTTGGTGGTGATGGTGGTCAGGACGGCGGTGGAGATGATGAGGATGGTGATAATGATGATTGTGATGCGGATGCTGATGTTGGTGCTGATGATGGTGGTGATGATGACAACGACGACGAGGATGATGACGGATACGACGCGGATGTGGTTGCAGAAACTTGGCCGGGGATGGTGCTGAAGAGTGATGATCACTGATGATGCTGATGGCGACGACGCCGACGATGATCACGAATATGATGGTTATGATTAGTACTATGATGATGATCGTGTGGGGATATGCCCGCGCCACACATTACATGTTGTGCGAGGGGCCGCGGGCGCACCGAGGCCATGCAGCATGCAGACCACAAACCAGTCAGAATAAAGGGACATAAAGGGGGAGGGAACGACTTGAGCGAGGCAACGGCGGGGGTACACGCAAAGCTCACACACGCCGCCCTGCAGAGCTCAATGTGGGGAGATGCTAGCCCTAGACGTTACATCTTGTGCGAAGAACCGACTGGGCGCACCGAGGCCATCCAGCATGCAGAGCACAAAACCAAACCCTAAACGTCAGCTTGGCATTCTGGCCCCTAGGCCACCCCAAAAAGAGCACATCAACACGACTTCACAGTTTCGTGGAGTCCGGCCAACGCAGCGAGGCTGCGAGTCCCAGCGAAAAGCGCCGCTCCCTCGGCCGCCACGAGTCAAGGGATCAAGCGCGCATGGGCCCTCTGGGATCTGTCGAGATGAAGACAGCCGAGGGGGCCAGATGCAATTTCCTAGTCCTCTCACACAATCCGCGGCTGCAGGCTGCAGTTGTACCACTTACAGAGCTCGTGCGGACCTTTGACATGCCATCCAACAAGACGCCACCTGCGGTGCGCACGGCCGTCGAACGAGTACGCCTCATACACCGCCTCAGAAGAAGAGAGGCGGAGGAGACGGACGACTTGGGGATGGTCCCACAGGGCGCTGCTGGAAGGGTGCTCTACGGCAGCAGGCGCGCGGTGGTGCGCGCACGTAGACAGAACCTGAAGACATTTGCCGACTGCAGCGTCCGCCACCTGCACGCGTGCGTCGAGAATGCACCAATGCCTGGCAGCCCGCACGGCCGAACCGACGACCGAGCAGGAAGCCTGGACACAACGGGCCAGGAGACGAGCCCAAGCCGAAACCAATCACCAGCAATGCACGAACCGCGGACCCAGCCGTGGACCACGACAGCACCCCCAGGCGCGCCAAGTTCGTCGGAGGGCCCGCGGCTAGCGCCCAAGACGACTGCCCCGATGCTCAAGCGGAAGGACGCAGGCTCGACGCGGCAAAGACCAAATCCACTCAACAAGAAAATGTCACGCTGGGCAGCGAGGCCATGGCGGACGGCGCCGCGAGAAAGACGGCCCAGTCGAAGCGGCACCTGCCCCCCAGCTCGGGGGGCCCGCGGCCTCTTGCCGTTTACGGCTGTGCGCGCCAACGGCGGCGCCTGAGGCAGCGAGCATGTCCCTGGCGGCGCCATCGTCGAAATCGGCTGAGCCTCCCGCGCGTCGACTGCCGCGCGTAGCGCCGCCGCCTGCTCGGGGAGGGAAGCGGCGAGCTGCTGCATCCTGCGCCTCTTGGCAGGGCGATTGAAAGAGGCGTCGGTGACCCATCCGCCTCGAACCCTGGCCTCCCGCCTCGAGCGGCGGCCTGGGGCGAGGTCCTCTGGGGCCCCACCCCCGCCCTCAGGGTTTCGAGGGTCGCGGCGCCGCCCCAGATGCCCAGCGCGATCGTCGCCCCGCGGAAGGTCGGACGGGCCGGCGACGACGGGGAGCTCCGCGGCGGATCACGGGCAGACCAATGTCGCTTCAAGCCCCGGCGGAGGGGCCACCCGTCGAGGCATCGCTGACGATCTGCCGCAGCGTCGGCAGCCGTCGGACGCGCTTGGCCCGTGCTCGATCGGGCCCCCCGCCGCGAGGCGGCGCGCCTCGAACGCGAGCCGCGCGAAGACCGCTTCGCCGAACTTCCCCTCGAGGATCAGCAGCCCGACCACCGCCGGCATCGGCGGCCTGTTCGGCAATCTCGCCGGAGGGGGCGCCAGGCGCGCCCACCCCCCGACAGCCCGCGTCGCCCTCAACAGGGGCCTCGGACCATCCAGCACGCGCGGCCGCGGATGGCGCGGAGCCGCCGGGGCCACGCGGCCAGTCGCCGAGTCGAAGCCGCCCAGGCAGAGGTTGCCGAAGAAGACCGCCAGGAGTGCGTCCAAGGCGACGGCCTTCTCGAACGACTGCCCCGCCCTTGCGCACCACTGGCGGAACCTCCTCGCGCGGGCGCGGTAGGCGCCCGGCGCGCGGAGGGCGATCGCGGCAGTCTCAAGGAACGGCGTCTCGCCCGCCAGGAGCTGCCCCGCGCCCGGGCGCGGGAGGCCGCGCTGCGCGTCCAGGGCCCGCTTGGCACTCGGCGCCCTCGTTGCCTTCCTCGGTGTCGAAGTCTTCCCGCGGGCCAAGGAAGAAGCCTGTCCGCTGCGGGGCATTAGCCGCGCTCCGTTCACTCGGGGCCCATCGCGCAATGATCCAGAGGCCCATGGCGAGGCCCAGCGCGGCGATGCGCCCCGGAAGGCGCCGCAAGCGCTGCGAGCCACAGCGGCCCTTACCGCGTCTGGGGGCCAGAGCCAAACTGTCAACGACGAAGAGGCATCGATGTCCGCGATTGCGAATATTCCGATCACCATGCCGAACAGCAAAACATGGCGCCTGCCCATCATATTCCAATATGTCAAGTCCGAGAAGGCGATGGCGACTGGAATGCGCGATGATCCAATCCTTCGGATCGCAAGGCAGCGAGGGCACCTCGACGACATCCGAGACAGCGTCGACGCCCCCGGCCCCGCAAAACGCGGGCGACGGCAACGAGCATCCAGCAGCAGCACCGCGCGGGGCCGACGGGCCCTTTCCTCCTCCAGAGGGCATGGGGCCTGACCGCGACTGCCACCGTGACTCTGAACCTCCACTTCTCAGCGCCCCCGCCCGTGGACGAGACAACGGGCGCGTCGAGCTCTGTTCCAACGCGCGCCCCGCCCACGCGGCGAAGCATCTGGCGCGTAGAAGTCGACTGGCCACGGAAAATGAGCAGACGCCCGCGCGAGCGGCACCCGCGCGGCCAAAGAAGAGAGCCCCCGTCGAACTGAAGGCCGCGGCTGCGCGGGCGCGCGCCCGGCCACTCGGACGAAAACGGTCAACGCCATTGAATATGGACGGGCGCTCTCCGCAGGGCCGCGGCCCTGGCGGCGCGGCCCACCGCCGAGGCGAGGCCCCCCCGTCTTGCCCGAGAACTGGGCGCCCGCGGAGAAACCCTCGGACTGCGCCTCGGCGAAGTAGTGGACAGGCGCGCCACTCGACGCGCCAGAGGAAAATGAAGACGGGTGAAATGCCACGCGCCACCCGATAACGCGGCGCAGCAGCACACGGTGAAGAGCTCGGCAGACTTACGAGGACTGCGCAGCTGCGGTCGACGCGGGGCCGATGGGCTGCCTGCGCCGTTCGAAGCTCGCGAGCCTCGACATCGGATCTCAGCGCGCTCTGCCTCCAGCTCTTGAGCCGGGCGGCGTCGGCCCGCTGCGCCGCGGGCGCCGCCCGGGCAGGCGGGCCCGCGAGGGCAGGCCATGCCGCGAAGGCTTCGTCCGCGGGCTCGGCCCTGGAGCCGCCGCGGTAGCACGGGGTTGCGGCGAGCACCTCTGCGAGGAATGCTTTGCGCAAACGTCGCTGCTAACTGTGCTTAGCTCGCATGTAGAAGCTGCGATGCTGCTCGAGTAGCTCCTCCGCCGTAGAACGCTGGGCCACAGAACCACCTTCCCTCGCGTCACTGCTGGGCGCGCCCGCTGCGCGACCGCGGAGCCAGCTGTGAGCGGGAATGCCTTCGTTGCGCCACTAGCGCCACGCCGCCCCGCGGGCCGCGCGCCGCCGAGGCCGCCGACCTGAGACTGCCGCCCGCATCCAGCAGCGGGGGAGGAATATCATCTCATTGCCGCTGGTCCCCGGCCAGCAGGGGGCCGAGAGCAGGCGGGGGCCCGATTGGCCTGGGGCTCGGCGAGCTTGGCAGCCCAGGGGCTGGCCCTTCCCAGCTCGCGCCCCATGGGGGCGTCATGGCGCCCGCGAGGCGCGCTCCTCACGCGCCTTGCGACTTTCCTTGGGCACCGTCGCCTCGTTATTCATCTGCTCGGCGATGAACTGCGTCAGCGCTGGGCAGATGCAGAGGTTGCCCTTCGGCCCTTCGTCCAACCGATGCCCAAGAAGTGGCCCACCTCGGTAGACATCGCGTCGTGCCTGGCAACTGCAATCCTCCGAACCTTCTCCTCATAGAACCTGTCGTCTATGAACTGCAGCTGCCGCGCTAGGTGTTCGTAGCTCGCGAGCTCAATGATGACCAGCTGGTCGTACATGAGAGACGCCTCGATGAGGCAGCAGAGGGTATCGTGCTGCGCCCCTCATCGTCGTGCTCAGGGAGCACCATCACCGCCAACCATCGAGTGCGGAATGCCACATCACCCCCAGCCATCTTGCGCATGAAAGTCAGCACTCAGAGCAGCGCCCGAGGCCCAGGACGGGCCAGTCGTCTCATGCATGGCAGCTCCGTCTGCTCCTTACGGCGTCGGCGAAGGAGCGGTCTCGGCGGCCGCGCGCATCTCGGAGGATGCCTATCACGCGAAGGTCGCGGACATCACGGTCACCTTCAGGCGGCGCGGCGGGCCCGTCGCCGGCGGGAGCAGCCCCAGCGCCAGACCCGAGACCAGCCGCCAGCACGTCTCCAATCGGATTTGGGGCGCGTGCTGGAGCGGCCGCCGCAGCGGGCGCGGCGGCACGCGCCGCGACCAGGGGCGCAGCGCCCAGGGACAGCGCAGCAGCCTGCCAGCCCTGGGGCCTCAGCGCGCCAGGAGCCATGCCCAACATGTTGCCCTCGCCCAGTTGCAGTCCGAGATCGCCCGCGGGCAAAACACCAGCACCAGCGGCGGTGGCCAGGCGGAGCGCGTCCCAGGCCGCCACCGCCGTGGGGAGGTGGCGGAAGCGGCACACGCTGGCAGCCGCCACTCCGTTAACTGGCGCACCTTTGCCCTCAGGCGCATCACAGCCGTCACGTCCGCGGGGGGGGGGGGGGGCCTGGTCCTCGGGATACACATCGAAAGCGTGCGTCGTGATATACTGGCCGAGGACGACCATCCGCTCGTGCCAGATCTCTTGACCAGGTACATTGAACCCCACGGCGTAGAACGCCCCAGGCTGAAAGGCCATGACATCAGCGTCCACTCGGCGCCCTTTGCCTGGCAGCCCGTGCCTGCTCCGCCGCCACCCTCGCGAAGTCAGACTCAAAGCGGTCGGGCGGCGCCTCTGTGGAACCTCCAGGTCCCACAACCAGATGAGCAGGACTTGTACGCTTCCTCAGGCGCCATTCTCCGACCCCGTGAGAGAAACCAAGCACCCATATCCACGTCGCGAGCTGCTCCCGTCCGCTGGAGCCGCTGACAAGTGCCCTTCGCCGCTGGGACGGGAGCAAAGAAGGGGTGGACAGTGGACCGATGGCGAACAGGTGCATGCAGGGCAAGGATCGGCGGCCGCCTGCACGATCACTGCTGTCTGGAAGGACCGAAGGAGATCGGGCAGGAGGGCGTCGGCGAATCCTTGCATGCCCTGAAAGACTTGAGCGAGGGAACGGCGGCGGTACACGCGAAGCCCAGAAACGTCTCCTGCAGAGCTTGATGATGATGCGGGTGATGAGGATGGTGGTGATCATGATGCTGATGATGCTGCTGTTGCTGATTAGGGAAATGTTGCTGCTGATGATGGTGATCCTGATGCTGATGGTGGCGCTGATGACCATGATGAAGATGGTTGTGGTGATGGTGATGATGAGTCCGGAGTGGAAAGGGAGAAGGAAGGGGGGGAGGAGGTGGTGAGTGGGACGCGGGACGTTGCTGGTCCAACATGAGGTCCCAATATCACAGGAAGGCGGGAAAAAGGGCGAATGATCGGGGATCCCAGAACAGATTCTGATCGCCACGCTGGCTGCGCGGCGCCCTCGGCACGCGTGGGCTTCAAAAGAGAGGAGGGTGGATGAGGACGGGTGGAACAGGGAGGAGGGAAGGGGGGAGGGAACAGGCAGGAGAGATGGAGGAGGATACGGAGGGGTGAGGGGGAGGTCCTCGCGTAACTTTTCAATGTGACTCCCCCTCGCGAATCCAGCTGATCCCCTCCCCCAACTGTCATCGCCCTCTCTCCATACCCCGCCACTCCGTGTCCTCGTTCCTCGTTCCTGCGCAACCTCTGCTCCTCACTCAGGATCCCACCCCGAGGTATGGCCGGAACCTAAACGCGGGATCACTAGGTCCTCGTTCCTCGTTCCTGCGCAACCTCTGCTCCTCACTCAGGATCCCACCCCGAGGTATGGCCGGAACCTAAACGCGGGATCACTAGGTACACATAACGGCGAACCTTGCGTCCGAGGCGGAGTTTGGCCTAGTGGGCAAGGCGCCCTCCCCAAAACG